ATCCGATATCCACCTGATACCGGGGGATGGCAGCCTGTCTCCGAGCTGCGAAACCAGCATGTGACTGTAGAGAAAGCTTCCCATTGGACAATAAGACCCACTGCAACCTCAGCCCGGCAGACAGAAGAAAAGACACGGTGCAGTCGTAGTGAAAGATATTTTTGCATGGCATGACAAGTCCCTTTTACTTGTGTCGTTGTGTATTGCTGAAAAAGAAAACTGCAGTGCAGAATTTGGAGAGGAGGCTCTGGAGGGAATTCATCAACTTACATGTAGACACTTTTCTCCCCCCGATGTACATAATGACAGTCTCCTTTTTCTAGCAAAAGAAGGAAATGCACAGAGGGACTTATCTGTAAAAAGCATGCATTTAAAAAAAAGACATATATTTTACGGTGCTTAGTTTGCTGAAAGCGCTCCACTGTAAATACTGGGACATCTAAAGGCATCTCTGAAGGTACAAATGTACAAATGTGAAGAGGAAATTGAAAGCGCTCAGACCGGGTGTTGCATCGTAGCGACCTATTTAAAAAAAATAAAAAAAACATATCATTACCTTTTGCAGAAATGCAAAGTGTTCCCATGATGACCCTGTAATGTTTTCTCCTGTGATTAATGCTGTATGAAACTGTAACATTATTGCGTTTGGTTTTCATAACGACTGTTCAGTTGATATTCAATGGACAAAAACACCTCCCCAAAAAACACCTGTCGTCGCCAAATATCTAGATATTTACTCGATGGTTTCAGAAGATACGACGAGGTTTGAGACCTTGCTCACGCCTTTTGATTCCATTAACAGTCAATCGTATTATACTCTCAGATATACATCTAAAAGTAGCTCTAAGAATAAACGTAGGTTGGTTGTAGAGATAAATCTGTTAGGTGAGTGACATTCAATAAACCCGAGTTATTTATTCAGCACAGTAGATGTGGTCATTACCACACAGATATGCTTCACACTATAATGATCTTTTTGGCAGGAGGGATAGACGAACACAAGACGATATTCCTTCTGATATTACGGACCAAATCAAGCACAGCTTCATCTATCTCAGCTGCATAGGAACATATACCATGTATTATGACGGTAGTTATGTTTTAGTTTGACTTCTTTATGGTTTCTTTTCCTGCATTGTGTCCCTGTCGTTTCGTCCATGCAACTTTCTCCCATCCTGCTGATCATTTAAGGCATTTTGTTTTGTATGTCCGTCGTGTCTTGGATTGTATTTATTGTGTTTTATTGTGAACAAATCTATTTTCAGTCAAACTTAAACCCAAAGGAGTTTAATTTATCTCTTTCTCTCGTCTTCGTTCTGGCTTTCGTTTTACACTGACTGAAAATATCCGTTGTCTGTTGCCTTTTTTGATTCCTATCGCTGGAATACTTTGTGTTTCAGCGTGACACTTTGGCTGAGTACTAGTAGTGGGTTTGTGAACGCCACACAAACCCGGACAGGAAGTACGTGGGTGATTTATTCGTTGTTTTATTATTATTATTATTATTCTCATGTTTTCTGTTCTCACAGAGAGAGGTGTGGAATGTGCAATACCGCAAACTGCAATCTATGCAGGCCAAGAAATGTGGCACTTTATTTTCTGTCTACGGGATTTGTAAGTGTACAGGCAGAAAATTACTTGTATTTTTCAAATGTTGTAACTTTAATATGAGGCAATTACAATTTACCAGAATCTCACAATGCAATTTGACTTTTTTTTATATGTCTGGCATAATGCTTTAATGCCAGATATTAATGGACCTTAAATTTATCTGTGGGAAATCCAAATTGACCACTTTGGGCCTTTTATATCGCTGTTAGATTTACATTAAGATCTAAGATATTAAAGATCATCTTATTTCAATGGCCACACAAAATGGATTTTATGTTTTTTGTGAATTAACGTTGAGAGTGATTCTATTTTTTCTAAACCAAAATGGAGCACGACCACAATTTCCTGCCATATGGTGGTTGAAATGATGCGTGCCTTTTCATAACACCGCTGTTTATGAGAAGGTAGCAAGTCATTTTGCTTTGTTCATATAGCACTGTACAGAAAATTCTAATTTTATAGGAGAAATCAGGTCTTTATGTAATAGATACAAGTATTGAGTTCTCAGGTTTTCTATAACTCTCTGATGTTCCAATTGGATCGATTCTCTGTTTTTTCTTTCACAGCTAATGTCAAATACTTCTGTACTTTTTTTTGAAAAGGTGATGTTGTCAAATCCACATTGATGTCTTGGCTCCCGGGGGAAAAGGAGCGGCAATATGTTCTCCCTCCTCCTGGGTAATCTGTGCAAAAGCATCCAGTGTCCGCCCGTCAGTGCGCAGGAAGGAGAGCTTTCACTGACCAGACAGGAAGAGATCACTAAACGGGTTATTCCCCATGCTGTGATCAAGGGTTGGAGGGAAGGTGAGGATAAGGGAAAGCTAGGAGAGTTTAACGTCAATGTTTTTCAACCTGGAGTCTTTTCCCCTTATGTTTCTGACCCTAAATCACATTGTGTGTGTGGTCTACGAAACAGGCTGCAGTGTAATCCCATGGGCTATTCTTCTAGTACTTTAAGTATATCTTGGTCGCTGCCTTTGTATCTGTTTTTAAGTTGAGTATTTCTGCACTACTGTTACTTGAGTGCAAGGTCTGGAAACTTCTTTCTCAATTGTCCGAGGTTAGATGTGAAAACAAAGCACTGAATTCTTCCTTTTTTCAGTTTCATGAACAGTGAGTTTTAGGCTTTGTTGAGACTGTTACTTACAGGTTAAATACAGTGGTGTAAAAAGCAATAAGTCTATGTAATGTTTTCTCGTGGATGTACTGCAAACAAATTTAGTTTTTGCCTCTGACTGAGACTCGGATTGAATTACTGATGTCGGACCCTAACGAGGAATTAAATGTTGTTTCTACAAGGTGTCGTTTAGGGAGACATCTGGCTTTGCATCCACACTGCTGGTATTGGCTAAATATCCAGCCAATGTCTTTTAAATAACACTTTCTGTACTGCAACGACACAGGTACTCTTCTTGCTAACTCGTGTTAAAACCATTGTCTTCCAACAAAAAGCCACAATAACAACGAGAATATATCAAGCTAAACGTGGAGATTTCTCTGTAGGATCATTTCCAGACACGTATCATAACAACCTACAACGGTCAGTGGCATACACAAACATTATCAGCGTGGAATTGCCTCGTATAATTACATTAAAGCCCATTTAACTAGCCATGGTGTCCCTATTAGACACTTGGGGTTCGGGTAACAAATGAGAGTCCAGGTTGAAAGATACAGACCCTTAAAGAGGAGGAATGAAATCAGTGTTGGTCCATATTTCCTTTCATCAATATCAATAATCAAAGATCCACACCCTCATCCACTTATCTTTGGAAACAGATTCGTTGTTTTGGTTCAAATGCGAGGTCAGCGGTGGTCGTCATAGTTTTTCATTTTCTTTAGGTTCGTTGATAACCTTTTCATCATTTATTTTCTGTACGTTAACTTTTACCTCTCATCCCTTATTTAATCATGTGTCCTCGAGTAGTCCTTCATTCTGACAGAGAAAACTAAGGATGGGACGGATCAGCCATATCTCCTTGGGATGATGTCTCAAAGAAACCGTGCAGAGTGAGAAAAAGGTTTATTTTCTCTGAGAGAACGGGTATTGTCCGTGTCACTCATGCGTGCTTTCCAAAACTCCCTGAAATGCGTGATCCTCCATCGTTTGTTCTTACGTCTATTCTGTGTATTCTGCCTCGTTGATTTTAGCTTTTGGAGAGCGTTCTCATTCTGAGCTGCAGACTGTTTCTTTAAGAAGCAACATCTTTGTATGCATGTAGTAGCCCGAACACTATGTGACCACAGAACACTTTGTCATGGTACATGTATGTCAACATTTCTGTAGAGCATTGTTCCCCATTACGTCTATTAGCATATGCAGAATAACAAATAAATGTGTATATAACTCGAGCCTTTGTGTGTTTTCTGCTGCACAAATGAGCTGCTGTTCAGAGGTCACATCTGCATTTTCTGGATGCATTATTACGCCCTTTAAGGATCATTGGATTTAATTGTGTGAAATAAATGAACAGTGAACATAGAGCACAAACTCTAAATATACATTCTTATAAATACAAAAATGTGTTAAAGTACTTATATGATCATTATATAACATTACTTTAGCTTTCTGTGTCTTTCTTATAAACATTTTTGCACATTCTGAATTTAACGTCTGGCGTTTCTATACATAGTTTTTATTTATTTGTATTTATTCAATTGTCCCCCAGGATACATATATGCAAGTTAGGAATCATTGGTCCAAACACAAAAAATGAGTTATTGTTGTTAATGTTTTAACTGCCATTAAACCTAACCAAAAAATAATCAGTGTACAATAATTAGCTTATTTTAAGTATGTGTATCATGCATGCTTTTCTGAGTTTCCTGTTTTAATTACACATATTGTAAGTGTCAGCTAAATAACACCGTACAAAAATGTCCATTCCATTTTCTTAAAGTCCAAAACCCACAGATATATTAAATTTAATATGATGTAAAAATTAAGGAATTCTTCATATTTTACATTCTGTTCTTGTCTATCTTATTCTATTTACATGTGTATAGACTCCTGCATTTACTTGCAATATTCTCTGCAACATTTAGCTTATTGTATTCATTTTCTTCTGACACATATATAGTTTAATTCATCTGCATTCCTTGCACATTGGTCTGCAACCTATTTTCTTCTACTCTTTGTGCACTATTTATATTGTATTTGTTTATTATTATTTATATTGTTTTATCTCCTATATATTAAGTTTCATTGTTGGAGGAGCCTGGGACTTACTGAGCATATGACAAAGCCTTTGAATCTATTTGAAGGACTTTTGTAAAAAAAAATCTGTAGTTGCAGTTCCTCCTCCAGACCACAAGGGCGGCGCTGCGTGCTGTGACGCGCTAACAAAACAGCGCGGGAATCAAACCGTTTCCAGAGAGGAAGGAGAAATTTAAAATAACAAACATGGCTGCTGAAAACCACAACAGAGCAATGTGTGAGTTTTCCCGAGTTCGAGCTGTCACCACGGGATGGATTGTGGACTTTATGTTCCTCAGTCTGTGTCGGAGATTCAAGGAGGGGAAGTTTGAGGAGTTCAACGAGATAATTCAGACTTTAGAGGGTGAGTTTTCCACCGATAACAACACTAACGCCGGTCGCTAGCTTAGCTTAGCATTCAACAACAGTCAAGTTTACAAACAGACAGATTATTAGCATGTACTAATAAACGCTTTATTATGATAACTGGGTTAGGGTCGGTATAACTATAACTATAGGTAAAGATATCCAGCAGAAGTATACAATGATTTAAAGTTAGCTCCACGTGTGGTTGGTCAAAATACTTGGGTCCTAAAGTACTCCACTACAAGTAAAGGTCCCGATGTTCATGTTAAAATGACAATAAGATTTTAAGAGTTAATTTACAGTATTAATGTGTACATTCATACTTTAAAATGTCTGCCCTTATCCTTAATAGATTCTTGACCTTTTGTATATGTGAAATGTAAGAGAAAAGGACATTTCATTGCCTCATTTCAAGTTAGGCAATGGTGGAAACAAAGTACTCCAAGTCATGTTTGATGAAAGTTACCAAACTGGCCTCAGCATATACAAATAGGTCAAAGTACTCTTGGCCCTTTTCAGATCTAATGTAATCCTCATCGTGGGTGATCATTAAAGATGGAGGAATGCATGTAATGGCGCAGTTGTTGAAGTGGATTGTAATTACATTTAGTGGAGAACAAAATACTTATTTGGCAGTTAGATGAGAGAAGAGCTTCAAATGGACATTAAAATACTCAAACACAGTACAAGTACCTGGCGTTGTGTCCGACAACAATTGAGTGTATTTCTGTGTTTCCAGCGGTCACTGAGTGTCCGGCGAAGGAGCTCCATGAGGATAAAACGATGATCTGTGCCTTCCTCGCAAGAGTCATGCACGGCAGACAGTTAGGTAAGGAGTCCGAAAAGTAGACATCGCTCTTAGACGTATTTCTGCACATGTTATTGCAATACATGGTTAGAGAACTGTGTCATTCACATGCATTGCGATCTGTTTACACTTTATGGCTGAGGATGTGAAATTAGTAGCAGCTAGGGATGTCCCGGTCTCATTTTTTAGGTTCTGATCCGATCCCGATATTTCCCGATACCGGTTTTCCGATATCACTTGTTGTGTTGGCAAACAGCATTTCATTTCGTATACATTAAGATACAGACAGGCACCCAAATAATTTATTAGACGACAAAAACCTGAGTTTTCCACAAGTGAAATTGGCTGGTCGTCCCCTGCTATGCTCCACACTCAGCTCCACAATCAGCTCAGTAATCTTGCGAAATCTCTCGGAGTCTCGAGGAAGTAAAGCCTTTCGTTTCAAGCTGTGCCGCAGTGTTTGTTGATGGAGTCCATCAGTGGCTTTACAGTAGGCGGCGTGTTCGTCGGGGTGGTGCTTTGTAAGATGTTTTATTAGGTGTGTGGTAGGAGACCCTGTTAGCACCACCTCGTGAGACCACACCACAGACTTTGCATGTCGCAGTCGGCGACTCACTTGTAGTTATTTTAAAATGATGCCAAACTGCAGACATTTTAACTAGCTAACGATATGTGTCCGTTCCACTTTCCCAACTCGATAATGGCGGCTGATGCAATAGAACAACAACGACAAACAACGTAACAATGGAATCATGGGAAATATTAACTATGGATCAGCCATGACATTTAATTGGATCTGCTGATCCACCTTGAAACCCAGTATCGGGCGGATCGGGATCGGGACATCTCTAGCAGCAGCTCAGATAGAATCCTGTGAGATGTGAGCGACGTGCCGTCACTGTTTTGATCTGCTTGAACGATGATAAACCTTTGTTTGAAGTGTATCTTTAGTGTGCGTCTTTTCTCTCCAGAAGCTAACCTCCTGCCTTCACCGTGTAATTCCCTGCTTCTCTCCAGATGTCCAGTTTGAAGAGAATGAGGACATGTTGCCTCTGATGTCTGCGGCCAAAATCTGGGCTGATATCAAGCACACCGTGGCAGAGCAACGTTTGTTCATCGACATCCTGGAGCTTTTGTTTGTGCAGGTAATCGCACAAGGATGTGTTTCTAAATGTGATTGAAGTTCTTCTGGAGATGCTGAGCTATAAGGAATGAGCATGCTTCTGATGTCACTTGTTCTGATTGCTGATGTGTTTCTTCCCAGTCCGTCGCTGTGTGCTTGATATCAGACCAGATATCTCATGCCTGCTTGGCCCTCAAGTGGTTTGAGAAAAACTATACATTACCGCAGGTCTGTGTTCCCATTCCTCTCCTTTCTTCTCGAGCACTCTCTCCAAACTGGAATACTTTAAGGCCTGGTTGTTTTTAATGCTTTACAACGTTACATTTCTCAACAGAACCTGTGTTCCAAGGTGTCGTCGATGGTGAAGAAGAAGGACCCTCACGACCCGCTCCTCAATTCCTACAGCTTCCCCCGCCTGCTGGAGACAGTTAAGACTTACCTGGACGCCTACCTGGAGAAAAACCCCTCCGACTACCTTGTCAAGGTGAGTCTAATGCATACAAGGGCTACAAGACCCTGTAACTGAAGCTTATTTGGTTGATGGTGTTTCAACAGATCTAGCTTGGTATATTTAGACACTAGAAGATTAAGAGAGGATTTATGATATGACCTTTTTAAAGATTAGTTATGCAGAAAGTCTTCCTCTGTTACTTAGACGTGACTTTATTCATGATGAGAGCAAGCATGTCGACACAGAACTTCATTTGAACCTGTCTGCGTTCTTTGATCCCTAAAAGGATTCAATGCTTTTGCTGATTTTAAGATGAGAATATCTTCAGTTACACATCATTTAATTGGCTTATACATTAGTACACAAAGATTAAGACACAACTCACGGTTACACTCTGAAGGCCAGATCCCTACGGGGCGAAAAGGAAAGACGGTGATGATCGTAAAAGTTGGAAAGATCTTCTAAAAAGTCCGGAGGCAGTTTCCTGTTTGACTAATACATCATGTTTCAGTCCAGGCGTCACAAACATCAATCTGCTCTGACCCTGTGTGCGGAGTAATGACCGGCTGAAGCTGCTGATGGGACATTCTCTCTCTGTGACCATTTGTCATCGAATGAGCTTTGAAGGGCAGAGCGCTCCACAGGGTCTAATGAACACTGAGGCTACCAAGGTCACACTAAGAAGGGTGCTCTAATGAAAGCAGGCCTCATTAGTCCTGCTTTCATTAGAGCAACACTTATTGAACCTGGAAGTTAATTACTTTAGAAGAGTATGGAAAGGTAATATTAAGTTACGTGTGTGTTAATGTCGGCTTCTTCGTGCTTCAGGAAGCCACAAAGGTGCTGCAGGCGTCGCCGGAAAGCGAGAAATCGGAGGACGACGACTCGACGCAAGACGACTTGACGCAAGACGACTCGACGCAAGACGACGCGACGCAAGACGACGCGACGCAAGACGAAAACATCCAAACAACAAAGAACAAAACGTGGGAAACAACCCGAGTGTATTTACTTCCTGTTCCACGTTATTCTGTTTTATGAACTTAAGGACATTTGTGTTTAGTAGATGATTTCTTTCTTGTAACAATGCTTTTGGGCAATAAATGACAATCTTATACCGTTGGAAAGCCTGTTTCCTTCCCTTTCCAACGGTACCCACATTTGTGAGGAACAACCATTTGTGGGATGAGGGTAAGAAGGGTGCGCCCATGAAACATGTGACATGGTAAGACAACAGGCTTACGGCCCGTCTACACTCCAGGCATCGAACAATGCTTTCAACGCTTCGCCCATTCATTTGAAATGGGGTGAAGATTTGTAAACTTCGCCGAACTGCATTGTGGGTAGCATGGCATGGCTTTGCAAGCATCACGAGCGTCTATCGGCATCAAAAGTTGAACAATGTTCAACTTTAGAGGCTCGATGCTTGCTCGAAGCTGGCATCAGCCAATCAAATCCCGCATATGCAAATCTGCCAGTACAAGCGCTAGCCAATCAAACCACGTGTATGCTGGGAGAGACTACGCAGGTCATTTCCTCATATTCCAAAAAATGGAGGGAAAATTGATTATAGCGGTAGAGAATCACCCGGTGCTGTTTGATCAGTCTCTGTTCATCTACCGGGATACAAACCGGAGGAGCGAGGCATGGAGGGAGGAGGCAGAGATAGTGGAGGAGCGAGGCATGGAGGGAGGAGGCAGAGACAGTGGAGGAACCAGGCATGGAGGGAGGAGGCAGAGACAGTGGAGGAACCAGGCATGGAGGGAGGAGGCAGAGACAGTGGAGGAACCAGGCATGGAGGGAGGAGGCATAGACAGTGGAGGAGCGAGGCATGGAGGGAGGAGGCAGAGACAGTGGAGGAACCAGGGCATGGAGGGAGGAGGCAGAGACAGTGAGGGAACCAGGCATGGAGGGAGGAGGGCAGAGACAGTGGAGGAGGCGAGGTCAATGGAGGGAGGAGGTCAGAGACAGTGGGAGAACCAGGCAATGGAGGGAGGAGCAGAGACAG